GTGTTCCAATTTTCTGAACTGGACAAATTAACAGAGGCAGTCTGTCTAAAATATCCAGATTCTTGGCTGTTAGCGGAGTTAGCACTAAAATCGATCGGCACGCTGAAAGCCCTGCAAATGTTGGACATAAATTTGATAAATAAGCAACACACGCACACGACTTTGAGAATGCACCCAGAACTACTGCTCTGTCTGTGATATATGAATGGGGTTTTTTCCCCCCACTGTGTTTATTTTTCGAGAGCCTTCATTCTTGTTGCTTAATTGAGTGGGTTGCCTCGCTAATTACAAGGTTGTTAAAGCCAAAGCGGCTGCATGAGCTGCTCTGCTCTGCTCTGAATGGGTTTTTGGCATGCTGAATGCAAAAAGGGAGAGAGAGAAAGAGTCAGACTGGACGTGAAACAAAGCAGCACGTTTCTCAGCATGTTCCTCCGACTGATGAGTCGTCTTTTTCATTCTGCATCCAGCAATTTGTCATCTAAGCAAAGAACACGACAAGGAGCAGGGCTGGGCTTACAGCGGGCATTTCCCTTGCAAATGGGTGCTCAGCACCTTTTGAAAGGGGTGAGGACAAGTTGTCTTAGTGCAGATCAGTTCTGACCCACCCCCGTTCCCCAATTGTACTGGCAAAAGGAGTGGGAACCAGATTCTTTGCCCCTTAACAACCAGAAAGATTCACTTCTCCTTCTATGCCATCATTCTGTTTCATTCCTTCCCCCTCTTACTTCATTGCATCATGGGACCAGTTCACGCAGTTGTATTGGCCACTAAATTTTCACCAAATATTCCATGCGTACAGTGGTACCTCGGGTTAAGTACTTAATTCATTCCGGAGGTCCGTACTTAACCTGAAACTGTTCCTAACCTGAAGCACCACTTTAGCTAATGGGGCCTCCTGCTGCTGCCGCGCTGCCGGAGCACGATTTCTGTTCTCATCCTGAAGCAAAGTTCTTAACCTGAAGCACTATTTCTGGGTTAGTGGAGTCTGTAACCTGAAGCTTATGTAACCCAAGGTACCACTGTACCTGCAAATGTGGAAGTAAAACAGCGTCTGTTGTCTTAGAGAAGAGCCAATGTTTCTCTGAGACAATGCCTGTGGTTTTTATTTTATTTTTTCCTCAGCGCCCCCACCCCCCCATTTCCCTACCCTGGGTATTCTTCAATGTCCCCTTGTGTCAATTAGTCTTGGCTCCCAACAGGATGTTTTCAAACCTGATTACATGCAGAGGGTGGAGAGATGAGGGAAGCCTCCCCTCCCCATGTTCTACGTTTGACCTACTGGCTGGGAATTGCCCACTCTTTTGTTCTAAACCAGTGGTTCTCAACCTGTAGGTCCCCAGATGTTGTTGGACTACAACTCCCATCATTCCTAGCCAGCATGACCAGTGGTCAGGGATGATGGGTCCAACAACATCTGGGGACCGACAGGTTGAGAACCACTGTTCTAAATTATAGCGGTTGAATTAGACACCCTCTCTGACTCTGTGTAAATGCGTAGTAACATTCGTTCCTTTCTACTCCACCCCTTGTATTTCTTTCCTTCCTCCGCCCTCTTTGGCTCCTTCAAGACTGTGCTGGGTTTTACTTCTGGGTCCATGGAAAACTCTGTGAAGCGCAAGGCCAGCCATGGGAGCGTCTTCAGCTTCCGGTTGCGCAGCAGGGACCTTGGCTCGGAGGCGGACTTTGCCGATGACGATATCAGCACCGTCGGGGAGAGCGAGAGCCAGCGTGGGTCCCTGCTGGTCCCCAGGAGCGGGAGGAGGCTGAGCGTGCAGAGCCAAACCAGCCACAGCTCTCCAAACTACACGCAAAATGGCAAGAGGAACAGCTCAGTGGATTGCAATGGTGTGGTTTCGCTGATTGGAGGAGGAGGAGGAGGAAGCGCGGACCCAACGACTCCGACAGACGTGCTGTTGCCACCAGTTATTACGGAGAAACCTGGAACAGGTGACACGGTGGGTCTACTTATCATTGTATGTCGTGTTCAGATTCTCTTTGTCATCTACCAAACCAAGCACAGCCCTGTGCTGCGTTGCAACTGCTTGTCACGCTGGCAGCAAAAACCCCCAGGAAGTTTCTAAAACCTTTGGTGGGACACCATCCATGGCTGCTAAGGTGTGTTAGGTTTGATGGATGCAGTCCTGGGCAATGTGTTACTGCAGCTACTAGGGGTTGAAAGTGAGAATTCCAATGGCCTAGTATCCCCAAACACACATCTCTGTTGCAATGGACCCTTAGAGTAGCATAAGCCAATATGGTGTTTTCCAGATGTTGCTGGACTCCATCAGCCCTAACTAGCATGGTCAGTAGTCAGGGATCATGGGAAATGTAGTTAGCCCAACAACAACATCTCAAGGGCATCATATTGGCTGCCCTTGCCTTAGAGATATTTGCAAGCTTGGCTAGGATGACTTGGGGATTAGTGGCTGTCTATGCTAAAAAAAATTCTGAAGCTTACTCTTGAAGTGGCACCTCTGAGGGCCAAGGATGCAACATCCAGTTTAAAAAAAGCCCCTCTTAGCATCCTTTTATCCAGGGTACCTTCTGTCAGGAGCCTGTCCTACTCTCAAGTAGGACCCTGGTAGAGACACATGCCCGAGTGGCATGTTCTCTCCCTCCTGGTTGATCGTTCGGGATCTTCAAAAGCTTTCTTCTGCCCGAACATCACAGCAACTGATGCCAACAGACATCAGCACACTTAGGTATCCGCAAAGTTTGCGCAGAACTCAGTAGCTCAGCATTTGGCTAATCTACATTTATTTACATATAAAATACTCAGAGCATTCTGACTTAGCTCCTTCCTCTTTCCCATCAGACAGCAAAAGAGAAAGAACAAAGGACATTAGTCCCACTTCACAGAACACAGTAACACAAACATCCTGTCTCCGTCACTTCCCACTCTGTGGAGTCAAAACATACACCATCATGTGATAGACAACAATCCCATGACTGCAATCACGGAGCAGGAATCTTAACACCATCTTCTTGTCTTCCCTGGTGTTTCCTCTCTTACTTTGCTTTTGGTTCTGTTCCATCCTTCAGCTGATCTTGCCAAAGTTTAGCTTCCGAGCCCTGATCTTATAATGCCTTGACTGGCTCTGTCCAGATTGATATTGAGAGTTCCAGAACTTCTTTCTTCTTGGGGGCTAGGGCTGGGGCTGGCATTGGGAAAATTATTATCACATGGTTACTTGTAAGTTCCATCAGGATTGTGAGCTACTTCTAGTTATTCCGTTGCTGTTGCTGTTATTTAAGAAAAACATGGTATTTCTATAAGCTTCATTGGAAGTGCATCAAAATTAAAAAGCTCATGCTCTGCGTCTGTCAAGTTCCATATTGACTTATAACACCCATGTCAGGCCATGTTGGCTCTGTAGTAGGATGCAATAGATACTTAGTCTGACACAAAAAGGTGATGGCCAAATGGTCCAGAGGCAAGAAATGTGTTCAGGGTTGGCCTGGAGTTCATGTACTGGGCTAGGCAGACAGGAATCAAGAGCTGGAGTCAGAAGACATGGCCATGGGTGGACTGAGGTCAGATACCAGATCTAGCAGGCAAGTCCCCGAATTTCTGTTGCTACTCAATGCAATGAATTATTGAGGAGCTGGCTTAGAAGGAAGTCTTATGAGCCTCGGTGGCCCTCCGTTGGCATGTTAGCTCAACTGGGATCAACTGATGGACCAGTACTGAAGCCTAGGGGCACCCATAGCTCTCAGAGCCCAAGCTGACTGAGGGACTAAGGCAGCCTTTCCCAACCTGGTGCCCTCCAGATTTCTTGAACTGCAACTCCCAACAGACCTAGTCATTATGGCCAAGGGTCAGAGGCTGAAGGAGTTGTATTCCCAAACATCTGGAGGACAGCAGGCTGCAAAAGGCTGGATTAGAGCCTGCTGGCAACTCCCTCTGTCTGTGAAGTTTGCTAACAACTTATGAGCCATCCTTTATTTATTTGTAAACTCATTAACACAGTTTCTGAACCATATCTGAAGAATGCAAGCAGCTTAGCGATGGCAATGACAGTTCTTCAGTTTGCTCATTTACTGCTGCTGTTCCTGAAAGCTGAGAGTGCTGCTCTCGACTCCCACTTCAGTCAGCAGGAGATGAGAACACTCAGCCTTCCCAAAGAGGTATATTGGTCTAAATCTTGCAGAAGCTGATGGGAAACTTCCTGTTACTTTTCACATCAGCCCTATCCATTCCAGACCTTGAAACTATTGCTTCTCCCCTGGTGCTACTTTCTGTAGCATCCCCCCCCCTTTTTTTACAAATGTCTGTTGAAAATTGGAGCGGGCAGCCAGCAGAAAACACTCTTGGCACCTCTGTGGTCGTCTAGGAAATTTCACCGGGGCACTATAGCAACAGATGCTCACTTTGGTGATGCAGAAGGAAGGGAGTTCTTGCTTCTACGAAGCACGTTTGGAATCTAATCTATTGAGGCCATGTGAAATGAGCTAAGAGCTGCAAGCTTGTGACTTTGTACAGTTACTCTTTTTGGAAAGATTCAAATAACCCTACTAAAAAAAGGAACACATGAGTGTGGTTCAGTGTTGTAGCAGTTGTGGTTGAATTGTTTTTAAGGACTTTCTTCCACACTGGGCGAGCTCTCCAGATGTTGTTTGATTACATTGTCTATCGAGGAGTAGTGAACATAGTGCTCTCCAGATGTTATGGACTAGAACTCCCATCACCCTTTGCGATTGTCCCTGCTGGCTAAGGCTGATGGAAGTCACAGCCTCATTTGCTGCCCTTGATCTTCATTCTACCCACATCAGTTTCATACTAGTTGAACCATCATGACTTTGCATCAGTTGAACCGTCATGACGTTCTCCAAAAAATTATGGGAACTGCAGTGTAGATAAGGGTGCTAAGAATCTGTTGGGGATCTCTAGAGCTCCCAGGGATCCGTGCAGAGGGCATTTTATTCATAGAATCATGGAAATGCAGAATTGGAAGGGACCATGAGAGTCATCTAGTCCAACCCCATGCAATACTGGAAACTTTCACCCAACATGGAGCTTGAACCCATGACCTCGCGATTAAGAGTCTCATGCTCTACTGACTGAGCTATCTTGAATATTTGGAAGCAACATTTTCACCACAAAGATTCTAGACTGCTGCGGCTGTTTGAGATCTGGGAAGTGATTTCATAGACTTTTCTCGGGCGAAGTTAGATGATTGTCATCTTGGCATGAGTCTTGGCAAATTCTGTGATTAGATGATTAGAATAAGCTCCAGTTCTTGCTGGAAATGTTCTACTGCATGTAGAGCAGATACAATGGGAAGCATTGGATAGTTGCATGGGAGTGTTAAGAGAAGGATAATTTCCAGCTGGGACTTAACAAGGACAGCCTTGGCACTTTTGCCGCCTGAAGCAAAACAATGCCACCAGCCTCACTCCCACAGCCGATCCTCTTATTTCTGCAGTGTGAAGGTGCTCCGTTTTGTTCTGCTGTCATGGCAAAGGAGGCCATTACAAGCCTAGAAGGGGAGAGAAGTCAAGCCAGGTGAAAGCTGAAAGGGAGTTCCCCAAGGGTGTGTGTTTGCTCTATAGTATGTCTTCAACCATACCCAAGTCCCAGCATTAGCTCCTAGGTGCTAAAGGAGCAATTGCTATTCATAATTCCCTGTATGATCCCTGTGCTGAGTTCCCTTCCACTTCCTTGTTGTGTGCAACTATTGAAATATGTGTGATAACATCAGTATATTGCATGTTGCTCCGCCTTTGACTGATGGTTGCCAGTTTTGTGGACTGGAAGAGGGTATGGAGTTGCTGTTTCTCAGAGGCAGTCCTGCGAATTTTATCATGTCTAAATGGGGGTGTGCAAAATGGCGTTGTTGTTTTTTTTTAATTTAATTTCATCATTAAATATTTCAGTTTTCTTATTTATTTGTTCCGGTCCATCACTTTTTGGTACTTACCTTTTAATCTGTTATTTTGCTTTTATTCCTTGTGATAGCAGCAGCAGAGCTGATTTTAGCAGGAGCTTCTGGCAGTGCCCATTTTATTTTTCTGGAATACTCTTGGCGTTGGACTGTTCTGGAGCATTGTGTTGTGTGTGCATCATGGGGTGAGGGGATAGCAGTTGTCACTAAAAACGCCACCCCACCGCTGCCTGCTCCCATTCTATCCAGAAATGACCTAGAAAAAATACAGTGTCCAGGGCATTCTTTCCCCAGATACCATGCTGGTAAGCTCTTCGTTCTTTCTGAAACCAGATTTGTAACCATAATGTCTAATTCCATTCTGAGATTTCATGTATGAAAGACGCAGCTTGGATTCTAATGACATGCACAATATATTCTTTGAAAGCTCATTCTGGATTCAGAACATTTGTTGGTTCTAATGTGAGATATTATTTTCCTGACCCTGTGAAATTTGTTAAAATGGACCAACGGTATCTGATTTTAAGTCACACGTAGAAAGAAAGAAAGAAAGAAAGAAAGAAAGAAAGAAAGAAGCAAGCTGTGGGATGGGGGGCATTTTTCACATAACCCTGGATCTGTCCATGTCAGACCCCACCCCCTGAATTTGCTGAAAGAGTTAGCACAGTAGTTCTTCACAATTCCTCTCTGCATCTACATGTGTTTGGGTGGCGCTGAGCCTACCCCCAAGCTGTTCTGCCAGTTAAATGGTCAGCTTCCTTTTGTTACCCCAGGAGTATCACCTGCTCTGCCAGGAGCCTGTTCCTTTGTAAAATCAAAACTTACCCATCACAGATTTGTTCCTACCACGGTCGCACCTGCTGGTATCTGTGTGTCATTTAAAAAACATTAACGGAGATCCAAACAAGGAAAAACAAAGCTTGCTGTCTTGCCTAAGTTGACAGATGAAAATGTTCAGCATGTGCGGCAGGAATGTCCATCGTCAAAACTACACATGGAATGGAAGCAATGTAACTTACCTCACTCACCCTCTTCACTAATGACTCCCAGAGGGGTAGCCGTGTTGCTACAAAAGTTAAGCCCATTGGTTTCAGTGGGTTGACTCTGTGGACTAGCGTTGGGTCTCACCCAAAGAGTCTTGTAGAACCTTGAAGAAGAAAAAGAAAAGATTTATTGTGGCTAAGTGTCTGTGGTCTGCAGCACGTCTCTTAATGGGTTGCTAAGGATACATAGTGGCTTGCCTAATGGGTACCCTCTTCTGAACAAGAGCCTTACGGTGTGAGACTTGGATGTTTTGCTTTCTTTTGGCATCTTCTGATTGGAGTAGTATGCCCTCTGCTCGCAGAATATATTCTGGATGGGGTTGTCTTCTGTGGATAAGTAGTCTAGCCTTTGACCAGGAGACTGAACTTTTGGGTTTTCTTGCTCTGTAGCTAGGCAGGCTGTGTGTAAGACACGTGTGTGTGTGTGTGTGTGTGTGTGTGTGTGTGTGTGTATCAAACTACTGCTACAAATTGGAAGGATCCAGCATCATGGTTTCTGCACTGCCAGTGCTGTGAGTCAACAGCTATTCTGGCAGATTGAGCTCTGGACTTCTGGGGTAGCACCTAGGCTGCAATATCAGTCCTGGCTCTGGAGGACAATTCCCCTTTTCAAGGTGCTATTTATGTCCCCCAATCTTGTTCCTCAGTTTGGGCAACTTGTCTCAATGGAGAGAACCTCACTTGGCCAATTCCCCTCTCCCTGTAGTGTTGCCCCTTTGAACCCAACCCCCTGGTTGCCTGGCTTGGATTCCACAACCCGCCTCTGTCCATTTGAACCTTTTAACTGCTGCCTTTGGCATGTCACCGCTTGCTCACCTTGGGGCAAGTCCTAACAGGAGCAGTTGAAAGCACTGGGTCTGCTTAGCTTGGGGAACATAAATTTAGTGGGGGAGAGACGATAGTGATCTTCAAAAATAAGAAGGGCTATCATGAAGAAGATGGAGGAGGCCTGTTCTCTATTGCTGTCGGGGGCAGGATTAGACAAATGAATGGACTGGATGGGTCATTGGCCTGATCCAGTAGACCCTTCTTATGACTCCTCTTCCTTGTCACCCCCAAGGCTTCAAGAGCAAAGGAGGAAGGATCTCAGGCAAGAGCTTTAGGCAAAGTACTGGCTAGGTGTATGTGCGTCAACTTGGGAGGAGAGGGAAACTCATGTGAACACTTGCCTGGATCAGGACCTGGATGAAAGCCTGGTAGAGGTGGAGTCTGCATGTCCTATAAAGCTCTCAGTCTACATAGAAACAAAAAAGTGCCAAGCTCCACTACAAAGCCTTTCCTGAACTGGGTAACAAACAAGTTGCCATTAGACGTTGCCCAAAGCAAATGTAGAGGGTGAAGTTTCAGAAGGACTTAAGGACAAGCAAGAAGGGTTTTGATCCGGCTGGCAAAATGTCTCAGTGTTGGGATGGTGCTTCACTTCTTTGCAGAGAGAACTCCCAGGTGATGACATTCTGGGATATAATCCTCCATGTTCGAGGCCAATAGTTCATTATGCTACATCCCGAGTCTCATCAATTTCTGGTGCTTGTGTTGCATTAGGTCTGTCATTTACATTGCAGCCTGCTTAAGCAATCTTTAATGCTTTAAAAGCTCCCGATGTACATGGCAAATTAAAGCTTTGTCACTGATGGGCGAGCTTTACCTGGCTCACCTCATAATGACTTTGCTTTTTCTGAGCTTTCTTGGAAAATTCCCAGAAAATGCTCAGAGTCTTTCTGAGTTCTGGAAAACCAAGCTCAGAGGAGGTTGATCTCCCAGCTTCCCCTTCTAGTCTCTGCACAGTGGGCATTGTTAGACTCATCCTTAGGGCTTGGTCTGCTTAACATGCTAATAATAATAATAATAATAATAATAATAATAATAATAATAATAAAAAATAATAATTTTATTTATACCCCACCCTCCCCGGCCAGAGCTGGGCTCAGGGCGGCTAACAACAGTAAAATTACAGTAAAAACATAATGGGGGGGGGGAACCAATTTAAAATACAGGTTAAAATGCAATTTAAAATGCAGCCTAATTTTAAAAGTATCCCATAGATCAAAACCATAAGGGGAGGGAAACATAAGGGTCAGACCGAGTCCAAACCAAAGGCCTGGCGGAACAGCTCTGTCTTGCAGGCCCTGCGGAAAGATGTCAAGTCCCGCAGGGCCCTGGTCTCTTGTGACAGAGCGTTCCACCAAGTCGGGGCCAGTACTGAAAAGGCCGTGGCCCTAGTTGAGACCAATCTAACCACCTTGCGACTTGAGACCTCAGAAGTGTTGTCATTTGTGGACCTTAAGGTCCTCTGCGGGGCATACCAGGAGAGGCGGTCCCTTAGGTACGTGGGTCCTAGGCCTTCCTAGATGTGTGGAAGTTGTTGTTTCCCATGCCTACCTGTTTAGTGGATTGTGCCAGGAATGGTACTGTGTACCCTTGCAGCGAAAGATGCTCTTGAAAAATCCCCCGGATATCCACGCCCAACTTTTATCAGTCCTCCCCAACACCACTCCCTGCTTTCGTAAGGGAGGGCTGGCTGGTAGCAGTGTTGAACCTATTATGGCTCAGACCTGAGCTTCATGGGCTCATAATGCAGGTGAGGTCTACAAACTGCCACTGTTCTGAAATTTGCCGCCACCTCTAAGATGTACCAGTGCCCAAATAGCTTTAGAGTGCAGCCTCTCTCCTTGTTGCCGTATTTTCCAACCGCAAGCTCTCAAAAGACAGATGCACTTGATAGTGCTATGGATCTTCATTTACATGTAAATTGTAAAGCAATTTATTTGTCTCCATGGTATTAGACCAATTCAAGTGGGAAACATTTTCAATCAGTCCAAATGGAGAGAGATGTGGTCCACTCACTCCCTGGTGTACTCCTCCTCCTCTAGCTTCTTCACACTTTTCCTGCCTAGGTTTTTAGTCAATCTGTAGGAGGCTAATAGATGAAGCAATGCACCTTTGGGCACATTTTCCTATGCCAGGAGGCAACAGAACTGTCCCTTGGGATCTGTGGGCCTAGTTTAATTCCTAGGTCATGTTTCCTTCCTTGCCCTTCCTTCCTTAGATGTATATCACACACTCTATTCCCATCTGGCTTCTGGTCCATTTCCAAACAAAATTGGGAGTGCTGGTGCTTACCTTTAAAGGCCATAAACAGCTGAAAGAC